AGTGAGTGGTAAAGGGTTGTTCTTCATAAATGGTGCCGAGACAACTGCAAATCCCTATGGAAAAAAGAAACTTAACCCTGATTTCATGGCATGCATAAAGTTGTGAAAAACCAAGACACCTTCTTGAACATGAGGTAGGAGAATATTTTCATAATCTTGGGGACAGGGAAAGATTTCTTAAACAGGACATAAAAAATATTAACCATAAGCCTGGATGTGGTGGCCCACACCTGAAATCCCAGCACTTTGGGAGGTCGAGGCAGGAGAATCGCTTGAGCCCAGGAGTTTGAGACCAGCCTGGGCAATATAGTGAGAACTTATCGCTACAAAAATAAAAAATAATAATAATTAGCCAGGTGTGGTGACCTATGCCTGTAATCCCAGCTACTCAGGAGGCTGAGGTGGGAGGATTGCCTGGGCCCAGGAGTTTGGGGCTGTGGTAAGCTGTGATAGTACCACTGCACTCCAACCTGGGTGACAGAGTGAGACCTCAACTTAAAATAAAAATGAGCCATGAAAAAAAACCAGTAAGTTTGACTATATTAAAATTAAGTTCCAGCTGGGCTCGGTGGTTCAGCCTGTAATCCCACGCCTTGGGAGGCTGAGGTGAGTGGATTGCCTGAGCCTGCGGGTTCGAGACCCGCCTGGGTAACTTGGCGAGACCTCATCTCTACACTAAATCAAAAATCAGCTGGGCGTGGTAGCGCGCCTGTAATTCCGGCTACTCGGAAGGCTGAGGCGGAAGGATCGCCGGAGCCCAGCAGGTCGAGGCTGAGGTGGCCGAGCGGCCACTGCACTCCAGTCTGGGCGACAGAGTGAGACTCCAACTTAAAAAATAAAAATAAAAAGTAAAATAAAATAAAATTAAGTTCCTTTCATCAGAAGATATCATTAAGATCATGCAAAGGCAAGTCAGAGAGTAGGAGAAGAGGTTTACAATACCTAGAAGCAACACAGGGTCCACACTTGGTATATATAAAGAACTCCCGAGAATCAATCAAAACGACAATCCAACAGAAAAACGGGAAGGTAGACATCAAGGGGCATTTCACAGAACAGGACACACAGAGGGCAGAGCTCAAGAGTATCCACTGTGCATGCTTCCCGGGGCTGCACTGACCAAGCCTTGCAGATGGGAGGCTATTTGGTTTTTCTTTTTTTTTGAGTTGGAGTCTCACTGTCGCCCAGGCCGGAGTGCAGTGGCACGCTCACGGCACCGTAGCCTCGACCTGCTGGGCTCGGGCGATCCTACCTCCCCAGCCTACCAAGTAGCTGGAACTACAGACGTGCATCACCACACTCGGCTAATTTTTTTATTTTTATTTTTTTGTAGAGATGAGGTCTCATCATGTTGCCTAGGCTGGTCTTGAACTCCTGGGGTCAAGTGACACTTCTGCCTCTGGCCTCCCAAAGTGCTGGGATTACAGACATGAGCCACCATGCCCGGCCTCTTTTTTTCCTTCTCTAAGGACACCAGTCATCGGATTAGGGCCTGCTCTTATCCAGTATGACCTCATCTTAACTCAACTGTAGCTGCAAATACTTTATTTCCAAATAAGGTTAGCTTCTGAGGCTCCAGGTGGACATGATTTTTGAAGGAACACTATTTGATGCAGTAAAATGCTCTGTGACCTCGCGATTCCATGCCTACCGATAACCCCATCGAAATGCACATCCACGTGCACTAAAAGACACATCCATGAATGTTCACAGCAGCCTTAGCCATCCTAGCCCAAGCGGGAAGCCACCCAGATATCAAGAGTGGGCGGGCCCAGTGAGGAGGGTCTACTTATCCAACTGGATGCTGGGAGGCAGTGCCGCTCCTTGCAGCCACTCGGATTCATCTCCCGGTGCTGAGCAAGGATCAACCCAAGAGATGCCACTTCCCTTCAGAATCGAGGAGGAAAAACATAACGCCGAATGATTTCCTTTATGTAAAGTCCCCAGATGGACAAAGCAAAGCCATCAGATTTAGGGAAGCATGCTTGACAGGTAGAACTATAAAAACCAAAGGGATTAGAGCAAGAATCAGGGCATGGTCACTTTGGGAAGTGAGAGGAGGGGAGTGAGAGGGGCTTTGGAGTGCTGACTATTCCAGGTCTCCCCAGGGTAATGCTGCGGGACTGTTTGCTTCAATAAGTCATTGTCCTGAACTTCTTTGTTCTGTATACTTTGCCTTTGGGGGCTATATATCACAACAGAAAGTGTTTTTCAAAAAGGTCCAGGGCTGGGGGTGGGGTGCAGGGAGTGTGTGGTGCAGGGGGCTCAGGGGTTTCAGTCACTCGTGGTGTATAAAGACTCCCATGGTGGCCACGATGGTCTCCTGACCCCTGGATCACAGTCACTTCCAGTCCCAGTCTTTAAAGGAGAAGGGTGTTGTGGCTCATGCCTGTAATCTCAGCACTTCAGGAGGCCAAGGTGGGAGGATTGCTTTGAGCCCAGGAGTCCGAGACCAGCCTGGGCGACATAGTGAGACCTCATCTCTACCAAAAAAACAAAATTAGCTGGGCATGGTGGCATGCACCCGTAGTCCCACTACTCAGGAGGCTGAGACAGAAGGATCGCCTAAGCCCAGGAAGCTGAGGCCATGGTGAGCCATGATCGTACCACTGTACTCCAGCCTGGGCAACACAGTGCAACTCTGACTCAAAAAGAAAAAGTCATACACATTTTTTAGTTTGTTCGATGCTGCCAAATTATCCTCCACAAAGGTTGTACCAATTGATCCTCTCAGCACTGTGTAAAAGAGACTTGATTTCCTACAACCCTTAGTTCCTAGTGGGCATTCAACCTCCTTTTCCCATATTTTTTCTTTATTTGAGCCAGAGGCTGGAGTGCAGTGGTACGCTCACGGCCACCTCAGCCTCGACCTGCTGGGCTCAGGTGATCCTCCTGCCTCAGTCTCCCAAGTAGCTGAAACTACAGGTGCACACCACCATGCTCAGCTAATTTTTTGATTTATTGTAGAGATGAGGTCTCGCCAAGTTGCCCAGGCGGGTCTCGAACCCACGGGCTCAGGAAATCTTCTCACCTCGGCCTCGCGAAGTGCTGGCATTAAAGGCTTGAGCCACTGCACCTGGCCTACTTTTTTTTCTTTTTAATTTCAGTTTTTGTTTTTTGAAAAAAATACAGACAGGATCCTGCCATGCTGCCCGGGTTGGTCTCAAACTCCTGGGTTCAAAAGCGATCCTTCCGCTTCGGCCTCCCAAAGTGCTGGGATTACATGTGTGAGCCACTGTGCCCTGCCCCAAGCTCCCCTCTTCTTGTAAGGACACCAGTCACTAGGGCCCACCCTAGTACAGCATGACCTTATCGTAAGTTGCTTACATCTGCAAAAACCCTCTTTCCAAATAAGGTCATATTACAAGTTCTGGGTAGATATGAATTTTGAGGGGACACTATTCAACCCGGTATAAATAGCAAGATCGAAAAAAGTTTACAGTGAACACCCATTTTACCTACCCCCTAGATTCTGCCACTAACAGTTTCCGATCCCTGCTTTATCACGCACCTATCTCTGAACCCATCCTCTTTATCCATTTGACTTTTGGCGCATTTCTTTCTTTTATTGCGGGGGGGGGCTTGGGGGTTGGAGTCTCACTCTGTCACCCAGGCTGGAGTGCAGTGGCATGCTCACAGCCACCCCTGCGTTCACCTGCTGGGCTCCAGCGACCCTTCTGCCTCAGCCTTTCAAAGTAGCCAAAACTACAAGCACGTGCTACCATGCCCGGCTAATGTTTCGATTTATTGTAGAGATGAGGTCTCACCATGTTGCCCAGGCTGGTCTTGAACCTGCAGGCGCAGGCAGTCCTCTTGCCTCGGCCTCCCAAAGAGTTGGGATTACAGGCTTGAGCCACTGTGTGCCCGGTTGACTTTGGGTGCATTTCAAAGTAAGTTGCATTAGCCTCTCTGGGGTGGAGAAAAAGAGAAAGAAATCAAACTAAGTTGTGGACACGCGTTCGCTTCCTCCCAAATTAATCAGCTACGTATCCTTAAGGAGAGTTCAAGATCTGGTTACCGTTATTGTTTTAATTGTTTGTAGCGATCATCAGTTTGAGAAGTCAAAAGGTGAAAGTCTCCCAGTTGGTTGGGACAGTGTCTCCCATTTTCTGACTCTAGCTGCCACTTTCCTTCCTCACTTTAAGGCGAATTTCAAGAAAGGACACTAGTATACAGTGTCTCCACTTCCTCACACGGGGGTTTACTCTTGCCAAAGCCACCAGCTGTTGTTAAATTCAAGAGACCTTTTTTTGCTCTCATCTTACCTGCCTTCCGGCGGCAGTTGACCATGAGGTTGTTCGTCACGGTGTCCTTGAAACCACGCTTCTCCCTAGGTTTCCCTTCCTCTTGGGTTGTTCCCCCGATTCCTTTCCTGGGTCCTCCTTGTCCCGTCTAGTGTGTGCCATGGTGTTCTTCCAGACGCTCTCCTGTGCCCTTTTCTCTCCTCCCTCTCACTCCTTCCCTTCTCACCTGTGTAAGGGAGGGCCCATCTCCCTGATACAGGTAAACGGGAAACCAATCTCGCAATTTTAAGGAAAAAGATTAAAACAGGGTTTGACCAGGGGCGGTGGACGCACCTGTAGTCCTAGCGCTTTGGGAGACTAAGGCAGGAGGGTCGCTGGAGGCTAGCAATTCGAGACCAGTCCGGGCAACACAGTGAGACTCCGGTTCTAAAGCAAAATAAAATTTAAAAAACAAGAAACAGGGATGGGCTACAATGGGTGTGGGACTACGAAGCCACCCTGTCCTGCCAGGTCCCGTCGGAACCGGTGGCGCTCAGCCCCGCCCCCTTTCCCACTCAGGGCGTGTGCGCCTGGAGACACGCACAGCCAACCAGTGACAGAAGCGGCCGTGAGTGGCATGCGTCTGGTCCAATGACCTGCGGCCCTGATGGGCGGGCCCGTGCTCAGGCCAATGGCTGCGCCGGACTGAGCTCGGGCGGGGGTGGCGGTCACCTGATCTGCGGTGGCAGCGGCCCTGGGGCAGTGGAGGCTGAGGCTATGATGGCGGCGGTGACGGCGGCGGTGACGGCGGCGGCTCGGGTGTGGATGGGGACGCGGCGGGCCTCAGAGCTCTGGCGGATGCTGTGGCTGCCGTTGCTGCTGGTGGCGGCGGCGGCGGCGGAGCAGCAGGTGCCGCTGGTGCTGTGGTCCAGCGACCGGTGAGCGGGCCGGGTGGGCTGCGCTGAGCGCCGTGGGCTGGCCTCGGCGAGGGGTGGCGAGGCCCAGGGGGGGCTGTTCTTGTTCGCGGGCTCGCGGCGAGCCTGCCGGCGACAGAGCTCCAGGCCCCGCGCAGCAGGCCCGTAGGCCCTCTCCTGACAGCACCTCTTCTGTCTCCTGCCAGGGATTTGTGGTCTCCCGCGGCCGACACGCACGAGGGCCACATCACCAGCGACTCGCAGCTCTCGACCTACCTAGACCCCGCCCTGGAGCTGGGCCCTCGGAATGTGCTGCTGTTCCTGCAAGACAAGGTGGCCGTCCGCTCTCCCCCTCGTCCCCCCCCCCCCCCCCCCCCC